TATGATGTCAATGGTTAAAGCAGCACTTACTATTCCGGTATCATCTGCGACGTGTGAGCGTGTATTTTCAAAGATGAAGTTAATCAAGACTCGTTTAAGAAACACTATGGCAGATGAACGATTAAGCGATCTTTGTATTTTATCGACTGAACGTGATTTTCAAGTGAATTTTCAACAAGTTATTGATCAGTTCTCAGCTAGTCATAAGAATAGTAGAATCATGCTGCATTAATTATATTTGTTTTGGTGTCTGTCTTTCTTTTCATAATCAAGGATTGAATATTTGAATATCCTCATTGTCATCTTCATTATATTGTACGAGAAGAACTTAAGTCACTTTTGTTTAACTTTGGAAAAACTGGGGGCAGAGCCCCCTCAACGACGTTTTTCTGGCGACGCCACTAGTTAAAGCAAATGACTATATTGCAGTAAGAATTTAAAATTCCGCTGGTGGAGAGTAAAATTTTGATCTCTACTAGTGAAAGGTAAACTGTAGATGCCTACGCATAGTCTACAGTATGTATTCTAGGTAAAGTAGGTTTTAAAGTGTAAGGCTGTGCTTACGGACATCCAGAACTGAATGAGGACATCTGAGGATATTGCAAGGTATGAAAGTGAGTGAAAAGACAATATCCCACGTGATACGGTCGGACACATTCGTAAAAAGCTGTAAATATAACCTAGGAGAACTTCAGACATGAAACAAAATGGTGCCGAAATATTGAATAAAATCGGTTTAACATATTGTAAGCAATTCGAATATCAATTAGCTGTAAACTATTTCCAAAGTGCATTAGAAACAGCTCTACATTTCATTAGTATAGCTATTATTTGCAGCAATTTAGAATTTGTTATGCAGAAACAAAACTATTTGATTTAGTGATGCTTATTACATGAAATCAATTCATTTCCACGAAAAAGAAAAAACTAATGAAAAACAGATTGATATTCTCTATAAGTCTATTGGTCACTGTTATGATAGAATAAATATGTTTCTGGAAGCTATTACCACCTATCTGAAATGTTTAGTATATAAATTCGAAAAAACATCATTGATATTTGATAAAATTGGATTTTCATATTGGAACAACAATGAAGCTGTTCTTATTATGGAAATCACCTAAAAAGAAAAGTTTTGGATAGTGAATCATGCGACACTCCGAGTTTATTCGACAATGTTAGGGCGGTTTGTGTAAAACTTGCGACTAAAGTGCACTGTTTAACATTTATGTTTCTTCGTCAATCTATTTAACGGTGATTTGATTGGTGACGATTCGGAAGTGGAGGGTGATTCAAGATTAGGTGGAAAGTTAGTTGAAGATGATGTTGGGGAAGAGGCTGATACGAGTGTAAACTGATCTTTAGGCGTGAAAATGGAGTTTTTTTATTACGCCAAGTGGCTCGAACATGACCTAAGCAAAACAAGTGAAGCTCCGACAAGCACCTTCTTCTACGTGTTCGTTTGAACCGAAAGGACTTAGGCAAAAACCTTTTTCCACCACTTTGTAGCTGAGCTAATGTTCTACAAGTCTACGCTGGAACTAATTCAATTATTTACCTAATTTCGCGGGAAAGCAGGTTTTAATGGTAACAACTCAAAAATAGGATCAATTTTTTGAATTGCCAATACGTAACTGTTTCGTCGCCCTAGATTCGTAATCTCGTTTAGTTTTTTTGATTTTTTTATGATTGAGAGAGTAGAGTACACTGAATAAATTGGCGTTTGAATCAAGTGTCTATGATTTCTACTCGCTGAGAAAAAAAACGAGAAAAACTATGTCGAAAATGAAATTTTCTTACACAAGTCATTTAGTCATGACTCTCATCTGAGCTTTTAATCGTCTGTTCTCTCCGTTTTTGTGTCTCAGATCATCGATCATTGCTGCCTATGTATATCAAGCTAAAAGTGAACGACATATTTTACGTTGTTTAACAACTGATTGCAAGACTAGTTGGAATTCGTCACAGAAGTTAATTGAAACTTTCATCATGTTCAAGCCAATTATTGAATCCTTATTAAAAGATAAATCACGTCTCGACTTGACAGCAGCACAGAGAACAAAGTTGACTATGAACGAAATCTTGAGCGATGAATGGATTTTACTTGAATCTATCAATGAAGTATTGTCAAAATTCTCGGCTATAACACAGTTGATCGGTGGAAGTAAATATGCTGCAGTTGACTTGTCATATTGTTGCATTCATTTGATTCAAGAGTATTTTAATGACAGTAGCAACGATAGTCTGACAGTTAAATAGCTGAAACAATTATTAAAAGAAAAATTACAATATTATTTCTTTCAAAATAAAGAACAGTTATTTAACTTACAGGTTAGATAAATTTTTCTGGTCCCTAAACTGAATAGGCAATATTTTAGAATTTTTTAATTGATCTATCGTAGTTCTCAGCCTCCAGTTTAGAACTTGTTCACTTAGGAAAGTGAATTTTTTTAAAGTTCAAACAGAAGAGGCAAGCCGTTTCTAAACCTTCGTTGATCCGCCTAAATACTAACTATGTATGCGCTTGCTTTCTCCCTTTTCGAATGTAGTTTATTTTCATGCATGTTAAAAGACTGTAGTTTTGCCATATTTCTTGATTTTTCTAGTGGAATCGGTACTCAGAAAATAAGTTCGGCTGCATAACTTCGCACTAAATTTTCTCTGGCAAAAGTCAAAAGTAGTGTGTAAGAGTGTTCCATGAGGATAAAGCTTAAAGATTTTTAAACGCAGGATTTACAAAAATATTCTGATTTTGGAAAGCCTAAGGTTGGAATTGCTTAGTCCTTCGCGATAGATTCTGTTACATTTACAGAAGCTGATATTTTTTTGTTGTTTACTGTTAGAATGGTGATCGTAGAATAAAGGCAGCACAAGCTGTTTTAAAAGATTGTCAAATTCCTGTTTTTTTTACCCTATCCATTTTAGTGTTCCGCTTTCTTTGATCCCATCGGTTACTCAGTGTTAAGTCGTGCAGAACAATCAGCTGTTGAACGTGTACTTCGTGATAAAGTAGATGAATTTTCCTCAGATTCACCATCGTCTTCTTCATCTACAGCTACTACTTTGCTGCTATAACCGACAATCTCTCCGCCGCAATTTCTTCCGACAAAGAAAACAAATAAACAATCAACTTTCAAACAATTTATTAAACCACCAGATTCTGCGTTAAATAACTGTTCGTCTACACATACTCCAAACAGAGCAGATATAGTGAAGAATTAACAAAATATCGAACATTGGCCGTATCCCAGGCAAATTTAATCACCAATCCTAACAATGATTATGAGCCGGACGCTCTACGTTTCTGGCGTAACAATGCCTCTGGTCTTCCGCTTCTTTCTCGTATGACTACACGTTATCTAACAACACCGGCAACATCTGTTCCCAGTGAATCCTGTTTCTCACGTGCCAATTATTTATATCGAAAACAACGTAGTCATCTTACTCCTCAAAATTTATGTTACTCTGTATTTCTACAAGATAAATTGGAAAACTAATACATACATACACTGACAGAGACAGAAAATTAAATGAAATCATTTGTACATTTTGATTCTTTTCTGTTTTATAGCCGAGAGATTTTTTTCTACCTTGTTTTTCTATTGACAGCTTCGTAGAGAGTTTGAGTGAGAGATGCTGAGAAACAGTAAAGTTTAGAACAGGGATGAGATTAGAACCGAAAAGGATTTTCGAGTAGAACTGTTGTTTAGCTGAAGACGATTGTTATTTTTCTTTCTATTTTACTCATTTCTTATATTAAACAAGATTATTTTTTTTGACACATTCAAGCTTGCTTCTAGTTACACAAGCAGTAAATTAGACTCTATAAAACTGTAGATCAACGTTAATTTGAAAGAGAACTGCTGTTCTTGTAAAAATTGGTCCTGACACATAAAACCGATCCATCAATGTCAGAACCGAACAGTTTATTCTTTTCTTTGAGCCAGTGATGACAGTATCAGAAATTTGTTATCACACGGCTGAAAGCATACTCGCTCTATCGTTCTCTTTGTTTTTATATTAAAATGCCTAAAGAATTAACAAAGGAATTTAAGCAAGTAGCGGTTCGTGTAATTGATTTTGTGGAGAAAGAGAAGCCTGGTTCAACAATAGCACGGAACAATGTCAACGAGTGACGTCAAGAAATTCTGGGTATTTCGGAGAGATCCATCCTTCGTTTAAAAAAAGAAATGAAGGAGACTAAAGCTCAACAAGAGGAGGAAGCGAGTACTCTCCATTTGCTTCGCCGTATAGGCATTTTAATGTAAAAACAAAGAGAACGATAGAGCGAGTATGCTTTCAGCCGTGTGATAACAAATTTCTGATACTGTCATCACTGGCTCAAAGAAAAGAATAAACTGTTCGGTTCTGACATTGGTGGATCGGTTTTATGTGTCAGGACCAATTTTTTCTTCATTCTCTTACGGTATTCAACAGAATGAGAAAAACTTTGAAATGATGCATCTTATTTTTAATTGTGCATGAAAATAAATTGGGCTCGTGTAGTTAATGAATACTACTTGTAAAGATAGAACAAACATTACCACTGTGATTGGCGGCATTGATTATCTATATCCCATGCATTTTTTATGTATTTATAGAAAAAAAAGCGTTCATTTTGGTACCTGCAGGAAATCCATGCCCCTGACCGAACTATAAGTTTTCAAGAGGTCGCTTGACTCTGATTTTTTAGAAGATACTTGGCACCGACATCATGTCTATCCGTAAACAAATCGTGAAAGAAAACCAGTGCAGCGAACTCGATCTCATTGGATTCGATACCGTCACTAATTCATCCATCTCGGTGACGACAGGCATAGCCAACAAGAACAAACAGGAAGTAATGTTCATGTATGGTCAACTGCTCAAGGAGATTTTGACAGAGGCGCCCTATTCAGCTGTTGACATGAACTATATGATCGAATTTTTGCTCCTTAAATACGTTGAGGAAGAACCATGTAAAGCTGAACAAGTCGTTGAGTTTGAACGCGACTATACACATCGTACGCCCATCGGGTGGTATACAAGTGAGACATTTTTGTATGGATTACTGAACGAAGCATTGCGTACACACAACGTGCGCACACTATACGCAATGCGCGTGTTTATCAAAGATCTTCATCAGCAGCTAATCCAGCTTGAGGCAACTGCACCAAATACTCAAACTCTGACACTCTATCGAGGTCAACAGATGCCGCCAGTGGAGTTTGAAAAGATCAAAACAAATCCAGGTGGACTATTATCTATCAGCAATTTTCTGTCGACTAGTCTGAACAAAAATCTTGCCATAATGTACGCTGGAAACTCCCACACCTATGCTGACAGAACAGCAGTTCTCTTTCAAATTAACATTGATCCATCGATACGTACCGGTGTTTCATTTGCCAATATCGAGCAGCTGAGCAACTTTGGTGCCGGCGAAAAGGAATATCTGTTCACGATGGGCAGTATCTTTCGCATTGAATCTGTCGATGAATTCGACGCGAACGATGATGTTTGGTGCGTCACACTTTCATTGACAAGTGACAACGATCCGCAGCTGACCCGCCTCACCAATTCAATGCGATCTACAGTACGTGGAAAAAATGTGCCTACTATTGGTAACCTTGGTATATTGCTGCTCTTCATGAATGAATCCCAGCTAGCTGCACAAATACTGGAAATGGCAGTCGATGTTAATACTGGGTTAAAGGACCTTGTGGGATTGCACTACGTACTGGGAGGAGTGTACACTGCACAAGGCGGTGCCCAGCAAGCGTTCAAGGACTATGAAAAATTATTTAACAATCCTTTAGTACATTTATTACGACCCGAATCACAAGCATTTTTCGTGGATTGGGTACCCTCTGTATCGTTCAAGAGAAGTTTGACCTCGCTCTCAATCATATGCAAATAGTACTGAGGATCGAAGAACGTCGTGTTCCTCAACCCAATCAGAAAATGCTTGCAGACTGCTATGCGAACATTGAGAGGATTTATCTGAAGCAAGACTGCTTGGATGATGCTCTGATGTATTTTCAGAAGGCATATAACATCTTCATACAATGTCTACCACCTGAACATCCAATCATCTACGATTGCATTAAGGAAAAAGCGATAGTTTATTCTGGACAAGGTCGCATTGAGGACGCTTTATCCGAGTTCAAAAAGGCCGAAGAGATCATAATAAACTCACTCTCACCAGATCACGATGCCCAAGCCCACCCGTCCGCATACACTGGCCTAATTCTTTTTGAGCAACGCGATTTTTCAGGTGCTCTGACTCATTTTCAGCGCGCACGGGAAATGATTCTTCGACAACCACACGGGCGAAAGCATCCAGCCAACATTTATTTCTTATCCGTCATTGGGTTGATTCTCTATGAACAAGCTCGATATGACGAGGCATTATCTACTCTTCAAGAATGTATAGAGATCGCAGAGAAAGAACGTGCTCTTCCTATAGAGCACCCTATTCTACGCGATACTTATATCCGAATCGCTAAAGTTCTTGAAAACCAAGAGAAATTGTCGCAGGCAATTGTGAACTACGAACATGCACTGGATATTCAGCTTCGATGTTTACCTCCGCCACATCCCGATATTGAGATAACTAGGCAATGTATAGCTGAATTGTACAGAAAGCAACGCCATCATGATGCCTTCCAATCTACTTAGAATAGATGCTCAGTAAAATATGAAGTTACCGTAATCAAGTCGATCTGTAACCAATGATTGTGGAAAATTAGTGTTTGTCATTTTTATGTTTGTTTAAACATCCATATTTTTTTTAAAACAAAATATCTTTCTTTTACTAAAATAGAACGAGAGAAAATAAATAAATAAAACTAGAGAGCAATTGTGCTGCGCACAAGTTGCGATGTCGATAGATCCGGTCTCTGCTGACAGCTACCAAAATTTATCAATTCAATCGATAGATTTCCACCGCACTGCTTTCACCGGGATTTTCCATTTCAGCTACTTTAAAAGACATAATTAGAGAGAATAATAGAACAGAGAACGAAATATGAAGAACAGGGAAAGATAAATGAGAGTGAATTATTTTTCTTCTTAAGAACAAATGGCGCCGCACAATTGATGCTAATGACTTTTAAAAGCTTTCAAGTACGAAACACATTTTTTTCCATTTTTGTAGCTTATGGGCTGAATTCGAACTTCTGTTTGAAAAAAGAACGCGCACTGATCAATTTCCAATGTCAGAAGATTATCCTCCCGTTTTCAGAAGTTTTCTACGTAGCTTAGTTCGCTAGATCATTTTGCAAAAAAAAAGTGACTAAACACGAAAAAAAACAAAATTCCCCAGAAAAATACCTAATGTCTATCGACATAAAAATAATTTAAAAGGAAGAGGATTGGTAAGAGCTACCTTACAGACGAACCTCCCTAGCGCTGGATAACCATCACACTAAAAAGTGTGAATGTTACCCTCATTCCCTTGCTCTTTAAGATCAACATTCTATACCCTCTCTTTCACTCTAGGCAATAAAAGCAAACTACACTAAATATTTAATGCTTATTATTTAAGTTGCTTAATTGTCCACAAGCATCGGAGGTATTTACTTTTCAGCGTTTACTAAAACCAGGTTAGCTACTTATCTCTTCAAAATTGGTTTGTTTTATAAGATCTTGTTTTTACCTTGTTACTACTGATGAAGATTTTTATGTAATCGAAACGTTTAGTAAACAAGAATAAAAATACGAAGGAAAAGGAAAGAAAAGATTATATGTCATACTTCGTAACTAATTAACAGTTAAGTAATGAAAAACACACGCGGTCAGAAAAAAACTATGAATGGACTATTCATCATCTCTACGACTCATCAATAATTTCAGGTATTCTTGTTGGATTCTTCTATCGCAAACGATTTAACATAATAGAAGTCAACTTTTACAGCTGCTTCGCTTACTGGCATATTTTGAGATCAATTTCCTCGACTATCTGTGACAGATAGTGAACGGACCAGGTAGCTCAGTGATTAGAACGGCGACATTGGACGCCGAAGATCTGAGTTCGATTCCTGGTCTGGTCCATCATTTTCCTTTACGCTATCTAAAATAGTAGAAAAGAATCTCCACGGCACTTTTATGGTGCAAATTTCTTAAATGGTCCAATGTGGAAAGATTTCATGTTTTTGATTGGAAAGTTTTTCAGAACTTTCCGCGTCTTCAAAAAATTTTCTAGGTACATAGGCGCAAGCAGGTTGATTTTGAAGCTCTACCTATTGGATTATTAGTCTTAGCTCGTATTCTCATTCCTAGTCTCTTGTTGCTTGCTGTTAGTTGTTTCTTTGGAAGACATGTAATTGGCGATTCTAGCTTTCTCTAATGTCTTTTATCTCTTCATTTTCTAATGAAATTATATTTGTTTAGACAATAACAACATTTGAATGGTTACCAAATGAACTTTATGGTTTTATTTTTCTCTATTTCAAATCGATCGACGTTATATACTCATTTTTCAATTTGAACTCTCGTTTTAATAGTCTTATCTATCCGTTTACGTGGGTAGTAGATCTGTCTACTATCGATAAACATGTACTCAATGAATATTGTCAAATATTTTTACCAAAAATTAGACGTCATATAAAAAGTATTAAATTTGATGATAAAAATATTCATCGTATCATTTCAATATCAACAACATACCCAAATCTGTGTTCTCTTTCAATAACAGATATCGGCATAGGCGGAAAATATTTACCTTATTTAGAATTATTTAAACAGTTAGTTAGTTTAGAATTACATTTTGATAGACAACAATATGATGAAAATATATCAAATGATGTATACTCAAATTTATTTCGATCAAATTCTCAACTTCAAATATTATTACTTAATAATATTTGCATAACGATTAATGATAAAAGTATTCATCCGTGTTTCATTAAAAAGCTAAGAATAGATTTACGATCTCTGTATGATTTATTTATTTTATAAAACAATTTACCATCAATTGAATATGTAAATGTTGGAATACGTCCTTTCATCATTTGATTTGGTTATCCAGTAATATCACCAATTATCGATCGAATATCGATGATATTTCTATATGTAGTAAACAAAAGAAATTAAAAGAAATTGGTTTATGTGATACAGAGCCATTTCCATTAGGAACATTTCAATTTATTAAACAAACATTTCCAAAAGCAACAACATTAGCATTCTTAAGAACTTCTATGGATTGTTTAAAGGAGGATTTAATGAATAATACTGAGTTTATAATAGAAAACATTGTCACATTGGGATTTTGGTTACATGAAGTAATGGCATATAAATATTTGGAACGAATATTATTAATGACACCAAATATTGTTGAGCTCTATTTACATTGGAAGTTTTTATCAGATTTAAAAACGCAAGTTTATCTTGAAAAATTACAACTAATATTTAACCGGATTAAGCTTGTTCACATTTGTGGAAATCCATTAAATGTTGATTTAGAAAATAGTAAAACCTTGTTTCCAAATGCGAAAATAATGCAATGAACTAACAATAAAGTAAAGTTTTACTTCCGTTCACGCTATTTCAGTTCAATTTTAAAGGCGTGAAAAAGACAAAAATAGTCAAAAAGTATTTTAATAAAAAATATTTTTGTAAGATACGGGTAAGAGCAAGGTGAAACGAGAGTGAGTATATTTAAATCAGCTTTTAAAGCTCTATTGAATAGTATTTGTTGAATGTTTTCTAACTGTCTGTAGTGTACAGAGTTTTACATTGCTCATTGTATATTAGTAACTTTATTAGTGACATTATTTGTAAGAGTACGCAGTCTAGTAACGAATGGCGACACGTAGTTGAACTTGATAATGATTAGAAAACGAATTGCCTCTTTTTCCGTTTACGAACAAGTTTGTATTCAGTCATAGATGATCCAGGATCAACTCGAATAATAATAATGTTTGAAATAAAAAAACGAAGACGAAAATAATAGTTAATACATTAGATTTTTGTACGAATTTTTATTCTGAATTTCATATGGTACTATATATAGAAGGACCGAAATGAAATATCTGTTGAAAGTTGAGAGAAGTCAAAGTCTGTATCGGAATCTTTTATGTTTTCCGTAGAAATCTAGAAATGAACAGTTAAATGGGTTAACATATGTTACTAGTTTCTAGATGTGGTCGGAAGGATTAACTTGTAACCAATCGTTTCTATTTCTACATTTCATTTTTTATTTGTAATTATCCTTCGTTTTATTAATGAACTTGATGATTCACGCAGTCATAGTCTACTAGACACTGTCCATCAATATTATTTTGTTAGATAAATTCACCATTCATAGTTAAGCGCTTTATATGTATAACAAAACTAACAAAATAAGTGTTCATCTAATCGCTATAGCTATTTTCGTGTAACAGAAAATATACAAATTGTATTATGCAAAGATTCGTATAGAACTCATTAGTCATTATTCAACTGAATATTTTAATTGAAGGTAGCAGCACGGTTTCACGAATGACTGCACGTGTTTCTTCCTCTGCTTGACATGCATAAAAACATGTCTCAAAAAGTTAAAAAGACTATTATTCTCTTCACGAACAAAACATGATCTGTCTTTTCTCTACGTCTTCTTTTTCACATGTTATTCGTTATTCTTAGTCTGTTATGTGTGTGAATGCATGCTATACTAGACTAAATCGAAAAAATACGAACTTAAAAATACCCACTTCTAATTTTATTTTGCACAAGCACACTAATATATCTTCTTACATTGAGCTGCAAAACAGCAAGCATTAAATTATTTACATCATTTTATAAATTATTACATTTATTTCATCTTATTAGATGTGCCACATGTACAGCAGATGGAAAGGGAATGGGAAAGCCGTGTAGTGGACAAAATACTGGATGACCAATTAGTAAGTAATCCTGAAATTATAACGGGTGTCGTTATAAATGTTCTTCTCAGTATTTTGCTTATAACTTACTCGGTTTGGATTTGTTTCTGAGACTCGTTTGTTTTTTTAAAGGATGCGCTGCGAAATTCTCTACAAAATCATACTTAAACTATAATTTCAGAACTTTAATCAAGAAAACTAAGCCAATTAGATGGAAGTCGAAAAAAATGTAAACTTTGTAAACTCAAAATTTTTTTGACTTGAACTTTTTCTTCTGCTACTATATCCGCTAAAAAGTGTAGCAAAAGTGAGAACTCAGTTTATGTTTAGTACTTTCAAATGTGCTCTTTCTCGTGGTCTGTAAAAAATCTTTTTTAGAGCAGATGGTGTGCTGGAGAACGGAGTTACAGAAATGCGTCAAAAGTTGACAACCTTCACGTTTCCAACAATAGGCTCAACCAAGACACGGAAAACATGATTGAAGTTTTGGTTTTGAAGTTAGATAGAGAAGAGCAATCATTTCTGATCAAAACAAAGCAAACCCGACCGAAAAAGCTTTTATTTTGTTGGAATTATGGGGCTTTTACTGAACGTACTACTATGCCCAAAATTAATGAAAAAATGCATGACAACCGGTAGAAAAACTATTATTTTGATGTAGCTTTTGATGTAAAAAAGTTTGAAGTGTAGCTGGAAGAGAGAGCGATGTCAGGGTTACAAAATGGCTAATTCAGTTTTTCTTACTTCCAAAACATTAACACAAGAAATCATTTTTGAGTTTAGAAAGTTTACATTCTTTTCGACTTTCATCTAATTGGCTTAGTTTTCTTGATTAAAGTTCTGAAATTATAGTTTAGGTATGATTTTGTAGAGAATTTCGCAGCGCACCTTTTAAAAGAAACATAGAGTCTCAGAAACAAATTCAAACCAAGTTATAAGCAAAATACTGACAGGGACATTTATCCTGGGACATCCGTTAGGAAAATTTATTTTATATATCTATATCTTATCCATCGAAGGTGGTCTTGCAAAGTCTCAGACGGACGTTACGGGCTTTTAATGGATGTTGTATGGCAGTTTCTTTTAAATTTATCTTGCGTATACAACTTGTCTCTTTTAGTCACACATACATGCATAGCTATATACGGCATAGTTACCAAAATTAACTTAAGTACTCCGAACTTTACCCTCAGAACACAAGGATCTACTGTAATACAGCAGTGTTTCTAACGACAGAGGTAACCTTCAATCTGTAACATGAGAGACATTCCTGCTCTTTTCGATTGATCTTTCTGGTGCTTGAAAATAATGCTAGTAGTAATCGTTAATTGTATCGACCACTAAATGCCTTTAGAGTGATCAATACAATGATGTACTGTATTCACCACCGTATCCAGAGGCTGCATTCGATGATGATAGTTATTCACCACCATATGGAAATAATGAATTCAATAACGTGATTTATTCGCCACCAATGGGATGGTTTCAATCACTTTTATTCAGAATTAGAAACGTTTTCATAATGTGTTTGTATTTTATAAGAAAAAGACTTCCATGGTTAAAAAGAAGACTTTAAATGGTTACTTGTGTCAGTTCTTAAACCATGAATGTTAGTAGTTGTTTTTCACTACTAAAGTATGTAAAATGATTCATCTTTACTCATTTTCTGTAAGTTCAATTTACTCATTTCAAATGTAGCGCAATCAGAGATGGGCCGCTCCGACCATTTCTGGCTCCAGCTCCAGCTAATTACGAACCGCTCCACTCCGACTCCGCTCCAAGCTCCAGTCTCACTGAAAAACACTCGCTCCGACTCCGCTCCAGCTCGACCGTCCTTACGAAGCGCTCCGACTCCGCGATGACGAAAAAAGTTTTTTTCCTGTTTTTTTAAAGTTTGATGATGTTCCGTGAATTTTACACTTTATTTCAAGATATATATATTATAGAATAAGAAAAGAACAAACTAATTGACAATATACGTAAGTTAGCTTGATTATAATATGAAGATT